CATACCCCTCAGCATGTAGCTAGTTGCTCCCCTGGTAGTCTCAGCTGGGGTGGGTGGTCCTGGCCGCCCGTGGCTCTGGGCGCTGCTCGTCCTCGGAGCTCTGCTCGCAGAGTCCTGCCCAACGACAGCCACGTTTAACCGGCGGCCGGACGCCAGACGGCGGCGAGCCGGCCTTCTCGCTACCTCTCCTCTGCCCCGACGCCCTGCCCCTGGGGCTCCTCTTTGTGTTCCTCTTCACTGGTTTTTTCTTCACCAGGGCCGCCAGCGGGACCTCGTCCTCCTCGGAGCTGCTGTCTGAGGAGGGCAGAAGTTAGCGGTGGAGGGCCCGAGGCCCAATTACCCAATTTGTCACAACCAAATCATCAGTTAATAACGGCTCTGAATACTGCAGTCAAAAGGGTGAACCAGTTAAAGGTTACCTCCATTCCTTCTTCAGTGCCGTTATTTATCAAGTCATCAAGGTGCTTGTGTTCTTCACTCTGGCAAAAATTAGGTGCAACAAAGTTCAGTCAGAAAACATACCAACATGAGAATTAATTCTTTGATCATACCTTCAGCTCGGTTTTAGTTTTTCTGTTACTCCGTCTGATGGGAAAATAGTCAGTGACCTTTCTGTTTTGAGGAGCTTTGTTCTCCGTCCTGAAAATAGAAACATGATGACTGTCAAATTACCGGGGAAAGAGGGCATGCATTTCTTTTTTTTTGGACAGCCAAAGCTGATGCATTGGCTTTCTTCACTCACTTTTTTGCCCTGCGTTTGTGACCAGTTGTTCTACTCTTAGGTTTGAGTGGAAGTTTGCTGTCTGTTGCAGACTTGGCATTTGGTTCTTTGTTCAATTGTTTCTGCTCGAGTTGGTCAGTGGTTTGCTCTCTTGTCTCATGATTGAGAGAAACAGCTTCTGGTTTCGGCTCCTTGGACTCACAGCTCTCAGGCTGAACTTTGCAGGGTACGTCTACAATAAGCGGGAGACACAGAATAGAAGGGAATGCAGCCTTAAACATTTAGCCTTAATCGAGGATGTGAAACTTCAGAAATGCTGTTAAGCTGTGTCATAAGATCTGCTAGTGAACACAGCAATCATTCAACTGGAGATGCCTCCATCATATGGGAAGATCTCCTAACCACATGATGACAAGGTAGTCAATAGCAACAAAAATGTTAAGAAAAACAAATGCCTGTAATGTTAGTGGCCAAACACCAGGCTTTCATGTCAGTCAGCTTTAAAACAACGCACCTTTTTCAGCTTTGACATGTCAGGATTAGTTGCATCAGAATCATTTCCCTCCTTGATTAAACTGTCACTCAGAGGGGATCTGGGTTTACTCGAACTTTGCAGGCTCTGGAAATTTGACTGCACCTTACTGATACAATTCTGCAAGAAAAATGGACCACATCAGTTATCAAATGAAAAACCTTAACAGGAACGAAGCAATGACAGTTTATTTCAGAAACAGAACTCTGTCGGGATGCAGATACTCATTTTACCAGCAGAAGGCCGAGAATGAACGCCTGACCTATGATGGCAATGAGTGTCTAAAATAGGGTAATTTTACCTCTTACTACTCTACTTTAGACGCTGTACAGCTTGGTTGTACAGCATCTAAATTATATAAATAGTTTTAATGAATCAAATATGGAAATACTACATGAAAAAAGTTCAAAATAACCAATTTCAATATATATAATATATAATATATATATAATAATATAATATAATATATATATATAATTTCAATATATATAAAATATGTATATAAGGTTTTTATATGCCAGCATGCTACAACATATCAAATAGATAACCCATTACAATGTTTCATAGCACTCAATTAAAAAAAAAAAACAATTGAACAGGACATTGTGCCGATGGTGTAGCTTTATTTCCTCGTGGGGGCCACAGGGACAGTTTTACTTCTAAGATTCAACTTTGGATGAATAGAAGCCCTGCAGTACGACTACGTATAACTGTAAACTTCATGATAGATAAACTGAGGTATTACGCCCGTTGTATTAATTTAAACAACATGGGTAATACATACTGGTTTGATACTTTAACAAAGTCGTTTAAGCCATAAACAACAACACGTACCTTTTCAGCTGCAGGCTTGTTCTCCTTTGTCTCAGTCTGTGCGGTGACTGTACGTTCACCGGTGTTCTCTGACTTTTTGTCGGTTCTCAGCACACCTTTTTTCCCTTTATGAAAACGAAATAATTATAAGTGAGCATTCTTGTCTAGCTCAGGCCACATTACACAAACGCCGGTGAGTTTTGTGTGCAAAGTCGGTTGTCTGTTTTGACACACCGGCCTTCGCTGTCGGCTAAACAACTCGAACTTATACCTCCATGACGCCATAACTACTAACAGCACAAAAGCAAGCCAACCTTTTGCCATGTCCGCTCTCGGAATACAGTCCAAAGACGATATGGAGTCTTCTGGCAGTTGCCCTCTTTCCCCACGGCCCCTCGGAGCTCGGTTTATCCTCTGCACCACTCAGTACATTGCCAATACAGTTCTTCTTCTTCTTCTTGTTGTTGATTTTATTGGCGGTTTGCAACAAGCTTTAAGCAGCATTACCGCCACCTGCTGGTATGGAGTGTGGTTCGTTATGGACCACCCCCCTAGTTCATGCACCCATTCACACACACACCTATTTTAATCATATTCTTTGAAATAATTTAGTTGCCAATACAGTTGGTGTGAGCGTGAGGATTTAAAAAACGTATTCATACTTCTCATTGGCTGCTTTACCCGGAAAAGCGAGGTGCACCGCCCTCTTATTGGCTACAGCGTGGACTGTTATTCTGCGTCTTCGGGCACTGTCCGAAGCTTTTTTATACCAAGCTATAGGTATGGCATTTTAGGATCCGAAAAATGTTTATTTTATGCCGAACACTGATTTGGTTTTATCTCATTTAAATGTCACAATCGGACAGCCCGTTAGATAGTGTGTGTTTGAAAATGAAAAGCAACACACAGCAGTGCAAAGAAAGCCAGAAATAAACATGGCCTTCAGTTTTTCACTGAGACTGCCCTTCAAAGTCAAGTAAAGCTTTCTGTGGGGGAAAATATGAAACATACATGGCAAGCACAAGTAATTTCCAACTCCAAAACAAAGCCCATTGCGCCATCTAGTGCCTGCAGGCTGACATGTTCCATGGCCTATGATAGGAACGTGACTCCTGTTTTTTCGATACCTGTCTTTTTTTGTATCTCAGAACGATATAAGTTTAAAAAAAAAACTAAATTGACTTCAAATCGTGCAGCATATTTCCTTTTTTCATAGGCACCTTATTTATGTTTTAGTCATTTATGCTCAAACATGATAGAAATGTTTTCCTTGTATGCTTGTCTTTCATTTTCATGATATGAAAGTTCTAATTTCATCTTCGATATTTTTTCGACTTTCCATTTTGCATTCAGAAAATGTGAGAGCAGCAAGCTGTCCTGATAAGTTTCAGTCTGCACCTATTTGAATTCCGGCCGGTTTTCGTCTCGTTTTGTTTAAAGGTCACCTTTCCTGTGTTACCCGATTTAATTAATCTGTATCTGCTTTGGTTATCCTGTTTCCCTCTGTACCTTTTGTTCCCATCAGCACTTGTGTGGAAACTCAGAATCATCATTTCATCTTCAATTTTCCTCAGACAATATAGGGGAATTTCTGTTACCCAGCATTTTTCTAGCATTCACTTACACTTTGTTCTATCAATTCTAGTGAATAATATACTTGTAAATGTAAATTGATATCATTTTTTTGTAATTATTGTAACACGTCTACATTTGCTCATGAGCAGTGCACGTTTCCACTGTGGTGTTTAGACTGGCAGATTTATACATTAATGAACAGAAAACAATTCAATATAATGGGAGAGTGCCATCAAAGAAGCAACTTGTTCACGCTTGCTTTTTCTTAAATTTCCTATTGAGATCAATTCAAAATTAAAATAAACAAATTATTAGTGACAGATTAAACTAAAATATGAAAACACATTTCCTACAACTCTGAACAATTCATGATACATAGATATGAGTCGAATGAATGCATAAATACACGCTTTGAAACTTTTTTTAAGCAATACAAGTCAAGGAGTCATAGCCCACTTCAGATTTTAATTTTTTTTAAAGATGTTCTACAAGCTTTGGAAAATTCACCTGTAGCTTGAGTGTTTCATGTAATTGTCCAATATTATGTGAACATACTTTATATGAGCTGTGATATACTTAAACTTGAATGGTACAATGAATATAAAAGTATGGATTAACATAATGACAGCATTACCTTTCAAACTTTTGTTTTTGACACTTTACAGAGAAACATCTGGTTCATTCAAATGCCTTGGAAAACATTTTTCTCACACACATTTTAAGCAGAGCCATTTTCAGGTTTGGAGCCTGTAGACAGAGATTCTTTAAACAGTCTTTTCCTTTCCAGATTCTCATTTGCCTTTCTCCTCTTTTCTTGCTTCTTCATCTCAGACTCTCTCTTTTTCACCAGAACTTCACTGAGGTCTCCTTTATACGCAACATCAAGTTTCTCTCTCATAATTTCTCGGGCACGCTTTCGATTTATGTCCACAGATCTGGTCTGATGGCACTGGGGGGACAAAACATGACACACTTAATGGTAATCACATTTGATTGTTTTTTTAAATTATTATTAAGTACAGCATATAAGCAACGAGTTCCAGTCTTTTGCTAGTATTTTAGAGTTTTGTATTAGTACATTTTTATTATATACTTTAAAATGTTAAATCTTTAAAAAAAAAAACCTATAAGGTCTTTATCAAACAACTAAAATGTTCACTTTTAATGACACATAAAAAGCTATCAGTATGTATTTACCTTCACAACAATCCCAGTGGGGATGTGCTTGAGCACCACACAGTTGCTGGTTTTGTTAGTAGCCTGCCCTCCAGGCCCAGATCCTCTGACAAACTGCTCGTCCAGCTCATCCTCGTTCAGGACTGGAAAATCAACCAGGTCCTTCTTGCCGAGTGTCGAGACACATGTCAGTCCGGGGTGAGTGGGTCTAAGCAGCGGAGAGGGGCTGGGAGCAGCTCTCCATATCACCCGCCAGGACACAGCGAACATCCGGCTGAAGAAGCGGAAAAGCAGAGTCATTACATGATGCTGCGTTTGTTGATAACCGACAGATAAAACTTTCTTCCCTGGACAAGGCTTTATTACGTACTCACTTTCAAAGACCCACGGTTGCAGTGTTCTGTTATGTTCTTCTTCTTCTTGTTGATTTTATTGGCGGTTTGCAACAAGCTTTAAGCAGCATTACCGCCACCTGCTGGTATGGAGTGTGGTTCGTTATGGACCACCCCCCTAGTTCATGCACCCATTCACACACACACCTATTTTAATCATATTCTTTGAAATAATTTAGTTTTTTTTAAATATCCCATAATTATCTTTACATGCTTACTCCCCGAATTCTTCCTCAAAATATCTATCAAATTAATCTTTCCCTTAATACATTCAAACTCTCCTTTCATACACCTTCTTTCTCTTTCATACTTATGGCATTCTAACATAACATGTTCTATCGTTTCATATCTATCACAATAATCACACTTTCCATTATTATGCTTTTGTATTTTAAATAGTGTATAATTAAGACCTGTATGCCCTAATCTTAATCTTGTCATTACCCTTCCCTCCTTTCTATTTCTTCTTTCATTTCTTTTCTCTCCTACTATCTTTTGTATTTTATAAAACCATCTTCCTGTTTTTTCTTCATCCCACCTTTTTTGCCATTTTTCCATCAGTTTTTCTTTAACCATATTCTTTCCCTCAGCTTTACTTGTTTTAACTTTAAAACTAATATTATTATGAATTGCCCTTTTTGCCATTTTATCTGCCCTCTCATTTCCTTCTATCCCTATATGTGCTGGAATCCATACTAATACCACTACCAGCCCCATATTCTGTATTCTATACAATGTATAAAATATTTCTAATAATATATCCATCCTACTATCTGATTGAAAATGTTTTAAACTTAATAATGCTGAGCTTGAATCTGAACATATCACTGTTTTTAATGGTTTTATTTCTTCCACCCATTGCAATGCTAATAATATTGCCAACATTTCTCCCGTGTATACTGACAAGCCATCCGTGCTCCGTTTTCCCATTTTTATATCGAAGTCTGGCACCACAAAAGCTACTCCTATCTTTCCATTTATTTTTGATGCATCTGTATAAATTTGAATATATTTATAATATTTGTTTATATGTATCTGTTTATATGTATTGACATGTCTACATTTGCTTCTGGTAAAATCCATGGCGGTATTATTGACATTGGTGTTTGACTTATTTCTAAATTATCAATCTTGAATTCTTTTATTTTATTTCTAATATTCCATCCAAAACTCCTCATTTCTTTCTTTTCTTTTTCCCAACATGGCTCTAAAATTTCCCGAGTTGGATGATCAATTTTATTGCTTTGTAAATTTAACCAGTAATTTATTTCTAGTTTTGTTCTTCTTAAGTTTAATGGCATTTCTCCCATTTCTACCTCTATTGCAGCTGTTGGTGTGGTTTTAAATGCTCCAGTACATACTCTTAATGCCTGATGTTGAATTATGTCTAATTTATCCAGATGTGTCTTAGCTGCTGAACCGTAAACTATGCACCCAAAGTCTATGTTAGATCTTATCATTCCATTATACATCTGCTTCATTGATTTTCTATCTGCTCCCCAATCACTGCCAGCCAAGCATCTTAAAATATTTAAGATTTTCTTACACTTATCAACCACTTTTTGAATATGTATATTCCATTTTAGTTTTTCATCAAACCATATTCCTAAAAATTTTATACATTTTACTTGTTCTAGCTTTTGATTATATAATTTTAATTTTATTTCCTTGTTTATTCTTTTTGTGAATATCATTACTTTTGTTTTTTCAACTGAAAACTTGAATCCCCATTGTAATGCCCATTTTTCTATTTCTATGATTACCTTTTGTACTTTCTTTACAATATGATCAATATTTTTCCCTCTTTTCCAGACCGCTCCATCATCTGCAAATAATGAACATCCTATTTCTTTTCCAATACCATTAAACACATCATTTATCATAATTAAGAACAATAAAGGACTTATAATACTTCCTTGCGGAGTTCCATGTTCTACCTTATATTTTTCTGAATACACTTCCCCTATTCTCACTTGTATTTTTCTATTTGTTAAAAAGTCTTTAATCCATTTAAATAAATTTCCTTTAATACCCAACATATATAGTTTAATCAATAATCCTTCTACCCACATCATATTGTATGCTTTTTCTATGTCAAAAAATACTGCCACCACACTTTCTTTATTTACTTGTGCTCTTCTAACTTCATGTTCTAAACATAACGTTGGATCATTAGTGCTCCTCCCTTTTCGAAACCCACTTTGATACTTTGATATATATCCTTTACTATTTAAATAATAAACCATCCTATTGTTAATCATTCTTTCCATTATTTTACATAAATTGGATGTTAAAGCTATTGGTCTGTAGTTTCCTGGGTTTGAATTATCTTTTCTTGGTTTTGCTATTGGTATTATAACTGATTCCTTCCAATTCATTGGTAATTTTCCTTTCTCCCAAATTTTATTATATACTTGCAATATTACATCTTTTGATTTCTCACTAAGTTGTCTTATCATTCTATAACAAATCTTATCTTTACCTGGTGCTGTATTTTTTGTCTTCCTGAGTGCAGAATTCAATTCAGCTTTTGTGAACTCAACATTTAACAAATTGTTTGTTTCTTCAACATTCTCTAATAGCTCTTTATATTTAAGTTTTGTATTTTCTCTCCCTCTCCTTCCCTCTTCACTTATATTATTTGAACTATAAACTTTACTAAACGATCTTGCCAATATTTCAGCTTTATCTTCATCTCTTATTATATTTACATCATCCATTTTTAATATAGGGTATTCAAACTCTTTCTTTTTGCCATTCATTCTTTTAATCATTTTCCATATTTTTTCCATTTTGGTTTCTCTCCCTATTGTACTACAGAAATTCCTCCAATACTCTCTTTTTGCGTTCTTAATAGTTCTTCTTACCATTGCTTGCATTCTTTTATAATCAATTAAATTTTTATAAATAGGGTTCCCTTTTAATACC